GGAGTTTAGACTATCGCCCATATGAACACTTGTCCTTTTGCGGCAACGCTGATCTCACACAGTAGTACCAAGCGGCTTCAGCGGAAGCCACGGCATTTGGATTACACGCCATGGCTACACTCCGCAGGGGGTTGTCGTGGCCCGTGTCCCCAAAATCCCCGTTGCAGAGTGTTTGCTGAAAATCTGAGACTTCCCCAGTACGACTTTTCATGTTGTAAACATGGATTTCGATTTAGTAAAGAAGGCCACTAGTTGGCTCAGAAATATTACAAGCTTGAGCTGTGCTGTCTTGCTGAGCTCTTCTGATCTCTTCTTCGCTGGGATGGAGCCCATGGAAACCCTAAACCCTAAAACCCTAAAACCCTAAAACCCTACCACACCTGCCGAGGCTAGTACGAGCCTGAAGCAGCTTCAAGTGCGCTCGGGGGAATGAAGGAATGAAGGCGAAAATGCAAGAGACTATACTACTGAGGGTTATATGGTAGTTTCCCAAAATAGGGGGACCCCATTGTAGACCCAAAAATACTATAGTCCTTATTATAGGGACCCCCATATACAGAGACTACTAGAAGGATCGGCCCTAGAGACTCGACTCTACGTCCAAAACCCTATACTAGAAGGATCCATTCCTTGATTCTTTTTGCTAGCTAGGTTTAAGCAGCTGGGAGTTTCTTGCAAAAAGGGGGCCTCTGGGAACCTAGGACGTCCAGGCCAATATAGGCATACTCAGGGGATTATGGGGGGCCCTATAAACTCTGGGTGATTTTCGGATTATGTTGCGAGCCTGCCCTACTCGAAGGAATAACTTCCGACACGTAGTTTTTGCCCGAATGGGTTGCTGCGCAGATAACCCCTCCAGCTAAGATTATCCCGGCTCCTATCAGTAAATGATCTGTTTCTCCAGGGCCTACAGATCAGGAAGGGCGCTCTTAAACTTAGCCCACATTACCCCAGGAAGAAAACACGACCCTTTTCACATGAACATAAGGAATCCCATACCCCAAGAAGTATCAAGGATCCCTAACATTGATCCAGAAAAAGGTCAAGACTGTTTTTGAAAGGGCCGAGTAAGGATCCCCTAATACTGAATTGGGGAGTTACATCAAAGACAAAATTGGATTAGGGATCTCCTTGGGATTCTAGTTGTTTGGCTTTCACATGTTTGTTATGGGGGAGCTCATACAACCTCTAGATGCAACCTTACTTGGTTAAATTTTCGGGTGAGTTTAATTAGTTTCATTTGGTCTATATTGGATTTTCATATTGTAATATACCCCAAAGCCCTATTCTATCTACAAGGGGGACTATAATTACAAACCCTATAAACTTCAGGCGTCAGATTCTAGTTGGTTTCGACCCTGGAGATGGCCTCGAAGCTCAGACTTCGATAGCAGGTATAAGCAATCGATTGACTTCCCCCCCGAAACCAACCTGTCCATTTGGGGGTTCGTATATACGCCGGAGCTGGAGCGAGTGTTCTCCAGCTCCTGTCTCTCTTTAAAACCTAGATTCCCTAAACCCTAAACCCTAAACCCTAGGATGCACAGCGACACCAAGCACCTCCCATAGGAAAGGCCCCTGGGCATCTCTATATCGGAAGCTTGCGTCGAGTGGTACCACTGGGATTAGAGCTTGTTGTTTCTTTGAAGCCCTAAACCCTAAACCCTAAACCGCTGATTACCACCAAAACCTTTGATGATCTTGAGATGGGTTGGCCCCTGAAACCCTTTGAACAATGTTAGTATATAGGGTCCCCTATTAAAGCCATTAGGGAAAATATCAAATATCCCAGGGGCCTACCCAATGAGTTTCTATGGTAGCATCAGGTCCTCGGCTTCTTAAAGGCAACCTCGATTCTATCTTTTCGATGATAAACCTTGCATGCAAACAACAACCAGCACTGACAGCCAGCCAGGCGGTCCAACTGTATTCCGTTACCGCTTCAAGTGCGCATTTAGATGACCCCAAGGCCAAGCCCTCTCAAAAGCTCCACACTCGGAAAACGCACGATTCAGCAGCTCATGGGTAGCTAAAATTCGGATAGAAAGCTTGAACCCTTCAAGGCATCACAGCCATCGCACGAAAAAGTTCTCCTTCAGGACAATGTCAGCCAACGCGTCAGCGCGGTCCTTCTGCCGTTGCCGCTTCTGGGCCTCTCCCAGAAACTCCTGGAGACGGATCTGAACACAGACCTTTTGAACTGAACAAATGTAATTAACAGCAATGATGATGAGGACAACTACCAGGATGGAAATCTATACTACTTTCCTGGTTTTGATAAACCCGCTTGCCACAAGACGACACAGAGCCTTTTAAGCCTAACAAAAAACAACAGAGTTGCTGCATAGCACGTTGCCCTAGTCTTGCTTCCCTAACTGGATTGGCCTCATTGCGTTTAGGATTCAAGGGCAACTTTGAACCAAATCTTTCCTGATGGGGTTGGGGTTCAGGTTTCGGTGTCTACTTCCCATGTGAGCTATAGTCTAAACTCCTAGTATCCCCCTTGACAGCCCCTATAGTAGTACCCTATACAATCACCTGTATTACCCCCGTTTACACCCTTTCAGGAGTTTTTATTCTAGCTCAAGCGAACCCCACAACATGCGGCTAGACAGACCGTGAAACGTTGCATGATTACAAACGGCAAGCGCGCAGCCCACAAAAAGAGCCCCGGTTCCTGAGCCAGGGGTCAAGAAAATTCAAGAACTACTTACCCAGAGGGCCCAAGTACCCAATAATTAGGTATTTGGGTTTAGGGTAATAGTAATTGTAGTACAGGATTTGCGTAAGTATGTGATTATTAGGTACTTGGACCTTTAGGGTTACTGGGAGGTCCTAGTTGACTTGGTACCCTTTAAAGGGGGTCTATAGGGGTTCTATAAGGTTTATATCGGGGTTATATATAATGGCAAAGAAAATGAAAATTATTTATTTCGAGCATCCCCACCCT